GAAATATGTCTCAGAGGAACTTTCTAAAGTTTTAGAAAGTCCTAAGCCCCCAAAGCATGTACATGGTGTGTATTCATTATTTTTTCAGTACTGATATATAATCTAAGCAAGTGAATACTAAAGTTAATAGCCGACGTTTCGGGGTCATCGTGACACCATTCTAAAGGCAAAGTGAACAAACGGTCCGCAATGCGTACTTGTGGGCTTATTGCTAGTGTTATTCCACTGGCTTGGCGTATTCTAGTCTTACGAGAGGAGAATTTCTAGAAAGATAAATGTACGACAATAAATGAGTTTGGTAATACTTTCGCGGGACTTGTCGGTTAGTGCTAGGACCATACTTGAGGCTGAGACTGCCGTTCTAACTACCCAGCACTTCTCTACAAACCGATATATTCAATATTTTCTCTAAGTCAAATATAGTCGTTGGTGTGGCGCAGCAGAGAGGTTATCTGCCGTGAGAACTGGAAGCTGTAAGTATTTTTTTACTTATTTTTTATTCTTTTTTAACTCATTTTTTTTTCTTGAACATGTACCGAAAGGCAGCGTTTGCCTTTCCGATGTGCGCTTGTGTTAAATGAAGGGAAGAAAATAAAAATAAGGGGGCAGACAACACGATATCAAGCAATACGCCCAACAAAGGTTGCAGAACGCTGGTAATGGCCGCCATCGAAAGACCCGGCAAAGGATCACTTGAAGCATCACTCGAAAGGTAAACCCAGTCTACCTATAGGGCAAAATATGCTCTCGGAGGTCTGTCAGGTGTCATCCCGTATACATTTCCACAACATTTGTCCTGACTTAACAGGCCTCGTGCATTTATAATGTATACGCCAGCAATAAATCAATGCGAAGATTTGATTTCTGTACTTTTACAGTCTCTACAAATTAACATAATAACAAAGGATCACAAGATCAAGTGAATAACTTTGAGTGAATTGAGTCCGTTTACACGTTTAGAGATGACTAAAGTTTTCTTAAAAAAGCATCTCCTTAATTAGGCAATCAAATTTGTTTGAGCATTTAGTGAGCACGTGAAATTGTTCTCAAAGACAAGTAGGCACTTTAATATTCGCTTGCTTATGTTTCAAAAAATCGTTATTGATCAAGATATATAATCTGAGTATTAAATCTTTTCATCTAGAGTTAGTCCTGTTCAGCAAACTCTGTTTCTGTCTGCTGTCACTTAATTGTTTAGTGTAATAACCTTTATTTACCCTCGCCAGTGTTATACCACATATACTAGTGGGCAAAGCAAACAACTGAAACAAATAATTCAAATTGAACATAACATTGTTAAGAATCCCAACTGGCCAGAGACAAAATCGAATTTTCGACCCTTGCCGCGAAATTAAGAATTTGTCTGATTTTTACAGGCAGGCACTCTTAAGAATCCCAACTGGCCGGCGGCAAACCATTTGACAATTTCCAAACGTGGCCGAGGATTTGAACCTGGGGCTACCGAGAAACAAATCCAGGTAGTGGTCAGAGCGGGACTTGAACCCGGGACCGCTGGATTGCGAGTCCGAAAAGCTGATCACCCGGCCACGCTGTGTAATGGAAAGTTTACATGGCCACCGACCCGAGTTGTTAATTCAAAGAATGGATGCTATCCAGGAAAATCGCTATCACGTATCATGTGGATTAGTTCTGGGAAACACTGGTGATTTATCCGGCAGATAGCATTATCCATCCTTTTAAACAAACGGGCTCCTGTGGTAAATGTAAAAAAAAAAAAAAATACAAAATTCAAGAAGTAAATATTAAAGGCCCCAAGTTGTGTTCCTCAAAGTATGTTGAAATTTAGTAGTTTCACACTGATTTCCTTCGTTTCGACATGTTCCGAATAAAATATAATTGCTAAACTCTCACACTCTCACATGGGTGACTAGGGCCCTTTAAAGACACAAAAGAAAGTGTGTAAAATAGTAACAA